TTTTTCAGTAATGTTATGTTTTGTATGTATGTATGTATGTATGTATGTATGTAATATGCATGTATGTATGTGTGTATGTATGTATGTATGTATGTATGTATGTATGTATGTATGTATGTATGTATGTATGTATGTGTGTGCGTACGTATGTATGTTAGGTATGTATGCATGTAATGTATGTAATGTATGGTATGTATGTATGTATGTATGTATGTATGTATGTATGTATGTGTGTATGTATGTATGTATGTATGCATGTAATGTTATGATTTGTTTTGTTACGGTATGTTGTGTTCTGTATGTATGTATGTATGCATGTAATGTATGTATGTATGTATTGTTTGCATTGTATGTATTGTATGTATAGTATGTATGTATTTGTTGTATGTATGTATGTATGTATGTATCCATGTATGCCATGTATGTATGTATGTATGTAATGTATGTAATGTATGTATGTATGTATGTATGTCTATGTAATGTATGTATGTATGTACGTATGTATGTATGTATGTATGTATGTATGCATGTATGTATGTAATGTTATGGTATGTTATGTTTTGTTTTTTATTGTATTTTTTATTATGGTATTGTATGTTCTGTTTTGTTATTGTTTGATACGTATCATATGTATGTAATGTTATGGTATTTTATTTTTAGTTATGCTATGTTATGCTATGTTATGTTTTGTTTTGTATGTATGTATGGTATGGTATGGTATGATATGGTATGGTATGGTATGTAATGTATGTAATGTATGTAATGTATGTAATGTATGTAATGTATGTAATGTATGTAATGTATGTAATGTATGTAATGTATGTAATGTATGTAATGTATGTAATGTATGTATGTATGTCTGTATGTATGTATGTATGTGTGTATGTATGTACGTATGTACGTATGTACGAAGGAACGTATGTATGTATGTATGTATGTACGTATGTATGTAGGTATGTACGTATGTATGTATTAATGCATGCATGTATGCATGTATGTCTGTATGCATGCATGTATGTATGCTTATCATTATCCCCGTCTACCTTTTGTCCTCCCCTTCTCAAGTTCAACTAGAATGCGACTGTTTGACGAACTCAGGTTTTTCCATGGCAATGCTGACCAGTTGGGGTGGGGTCCCACGTTTCTTGGCAACCAACTTCAGCAAGTGGGTCTTGGCTTTTATGGAATCTCAGAGGCATATCAGAAGCATAGAACGCGGAAAGTTTCGAATTTTTGATTTGATCGACGTTGGAGCAAATCCGAAATTTCCAAGAATGGTTTGATCCAATCCTGATGTTCAGCCGAGAGAAAGTTGGAATCGCTCTGAGGTATTGAATACCCTGGCTATGGCCTTGCTCAACCTGGTTCTCCAACCGAAGAATCTATCTACGCCTCAGCCGAAGCCATGCTGGATCATCTCACGGCCAACTTGAAGGTCGATAAATCTATGTTGGTGATGGTCGGGCAATCCATTGGTTGTGGAGCAGCAGTTGAAATGGTCCGACGTGGATATGGCCAAAAACTCGTTTTGCTGAGTCCTTTCACCAGTTTGCTGGCTTTGTCACAGAGGATCTATCCGAGTTCAGTCCGGCGTTGAAGCTGTTTCCTTTTCTACTGAAGGATAAATTTGACAACCTGGCCAAAGCGAAGCAACTTAATAGCAAAACTCTAGTGATACATGGAAACACAGATGAGATTGTGCCCTACGACATGGGCCGTGAACTTGCCAAAGAAATTCCTGGAGCGATCTTCCAGACTGCCAAAGGCGAGGATCAAATGAGTTCTGCCACATACTTGTAGTGGGTAGAGCTTTAGAGTGAGTTTACGCGTTCAGAGGAATACATAGGAATACTACGGCAAAACACTTCCTTTCAGTCGTTTCATGGGTTTTACGATTTGCTCAGAACCGTACTTGTACTTGTTGGGCTCGTTGTCGTTGCTGTCAGACTTTGTGGTACTCGTATGATATGGTACGTGAGTTATCCGTTTGTGCTCTTGTTAAATTCATGTTTAATCATGTTTGTTTTATGATTATGGTTGTGGTTGTTGAGGTTACTATGGTGGCTGTAGTTATTGTCGCGGGTTGTCGTCGTCGTCGTCGTCGTTCTCCAGTCCTTGATCTTCCTTGCATGATTGCACGTGATTGCACATTGTCTTTAAGCGCGCGAAGCTGTAGGCCTTGGACACAACGATCTCTTGGACAGCGCTGAAGTGCTCTCATTGATTGCAAGATTTGCTTGTGAAGCTGACGACAATGCGAGTGCAGATTCCAGCGGAAAAAAGAACACACAGCGCAGCCGCCCAAGTGTCGACCACAGAAAGCAAAGCATTGCAGCTGCAACGTGCTTGTGTTTTGCGTATTCGTTTTAAAGCCATGTGTTTATAGTTTAGAGCAATGTGTGAAATCATGTGTACTATATTGAAATATATTGAATATATTTGAATTTATTGCCCAAACATGCCAAAGCACTCCCTCAGATTCAGAAGCAGCGAATGCCAGGCGACACCCGAACTGCTAGTGTCCACTGATGCATGAGCCATTGCATGTGTTCACTTAAACCTCGAAACTCTGCCACACAAATTTGTTGCGGAGAATGTTGAAATCACTTTGAAAAGTGAATTGCGGAAAGCCTAAAGGCCTAAAGTTTTCCAAAATGCCTAAGTCAAAAGGTTTCATTTCAGCATTTTGTCCGCTCTGTGTCCTACAGAATTCGTGAAGTGCGAGCAATGCCAAAATCTTTTACAAGTCACCGGAGACCACACCGCACTGTCTATCAGAATCTGTCGTACGAACTGTACAATATTCATTTATATCGGGTATAATACACAATGTACATAATACATATTTATATTTATGTATATGCACACACACACGCCCATGTGCATCAATTGACCGTTGCTTTCTTGGTTGATGCCACCGCCAGACATGAAAATCCATATTCGCACTTCGCACCAGAGTCCAGTCAAACACAGAATGACGGGCACTGGATGCCATGAGCTTTTCGCGGAAAGCTCCAGCCTTCCAGCCGCCTACGGAGAGCTATTTCTCTTCCGTCATCGGCGCAAGTCTATGCCGCTGAAAACCTCAAAGCAAGATGCCAGACGCAGTGATGAAAAATGTGTTTTCATTTCAGCCTGTAAATACTGTGTGTTCAATGAAAGATGCCAATTCTTCAGGCATGTAGATTCGCTGTAATTAGCTCAACTAGCTCAGCTTCTTGCAGGTTTAC